ACTTTACAAGATTACACCTTATTTCATCTTCAGAGAATATTATTCCACCCAGCCAGCTATAGCAGCCCCATCTGGAAAGGAAATTTATTAAATGTTGCTTTCCTAACATTTTATGACCAGCCACTTTCAGAAGCTAGAAGATTGTACTTCAGATTAATATTCCAAAGAGTGATCTCTTGATCAGCGACATCAGCACCACTTGAGAACTTGTTAGAAATGCAAAATCTTAAGGTCCCCCTCCAGACATACTGTTATGTAGTTTTCCTATATTATTTCAGAATATGAAATTCTATTATAGAGGTAAACAAATGGGATGGATGAAATGCTTAAGAAGTGACAATCATAGATGGTAAATAAACTAATAACTTATGAGACAGAGGCAACACTCAGGCTGGGCCAAGTATTGATAATGAGAATGGAAGCTGGTGAAATGAAGGCAGTCAACAGATGCGTAATAAATAGGTAAGCTGGGAGTAAGACATGACAACAATAAAATAAATAGAAATTATGATAAAATGAATGAGGTTTACGTATAGACAAAAAGCAATGGAAATACCAAGTCACCATTATGCCTGGACTGACAGCTACATTACTTCCACGTCAGTCATCTACTGAGGACACCAAGGATGGTCCCATGGCTCATGAGCAGGCAAACTAGCAAAGCTATGGCTGTACTTAAGTGTATTTGTCACATCTTTTCAATAGAACAAGTATGTATCATCGACCCAGGAAATCATTAGTCTATGGAGTCTTGGTTCAAATATCAGCTCTGGTCCTCATAACCACGTCATTAATGGGGAACGGTTATGTGAAAGAAAGATGGGACATAGGAATATTGTTTACCCAGGACACAGGTAGTGTGGTCCTTCCAGCCTGGTTTGAACTGCATTAACTTACTCCATAGCTTTCCTCTTGCCTCAGGATTTGTGTTTAACTGGTTTGGTAAATCATGTGATTCAAGCATTTTAACTTGTTTTCTGAGTCTTCTATTCCATAACCTCTGAGATAGCTTGCCTGGTGGTGTACTTGGAGCCCAACCATTGTATCCAGGTAATTTCCCACAGAATACCTACTGAATCAGAATCTCCATGCTAACAAGATCTCCCAAGTGATTCATACGCATATTAAAGTTTAAGAAGCAATGACAAAACTGTTATAAAGGGAAGCCTCTGCAAAGACAAAAAGTTGGATCTCAACAGAACTATTCTCTGAAAACAATCTTGAACAAAAAAACTTCATATATCCATGAACGCCCTAACAACGACTCGGAGCCCCAAAAGAAGGAGAGAATACAAGAATATCCATTTTCAACAACTATTATGTAAAGTTTGAAGCTCTGGTGCCCTTGCTGATTATTTGAACTCCAGTCCTGTAAAGCTCCATATGAGTTGAGAAAACACTCAAAATATAGCACAATGTACCTCAATATTAACTCTGTAATGTCCTTCTTACTGGGAGTTAGAAAAATCTTTTTCAGATATGCTGTTTCAAGGATAACAATCCACTGTAACACAATAGTATTTGAGGGGAAAAAAATACCAATCCAAAGGACATAAGAAACAGAGAAAGGTTGTGACTTCCTTAATGAGGCTGCAGCAACCTTAGAAAGATCATCAAAGCACAGAGTTGGGAACAGCCTGAGCGCTTCCTTAATGGGCTGTACACTTCCCACCTACCAGCAGCTCCTGACTTCATCAGCTCCTCATTTTATGTATTTGTTATATTTGCATTGTCCCTGACACATATTAGGGGCTCCGTAAATGTTCTGAATTAGTAGAAAAAATGACACGTCACCCTCTCTTGTTTTGATTCATCTGAGACAAATTTACTTTAATTCAATCCTTTCATTTTGAAAAATTCCTGAGAATGAAGGCATAATTCCATCTTGAATTAGCATGGTTCATAACATTCTCCCATTCCATATCTCAAAGTTGAATCTTAATTTGCCATTATTAATTCCATTCTAATATTTCATAACCCTATGAAACATATCAATCTATCCAATAAGATATAACTATCTATGAAAGATAGAAAAGTCATACTGACAGCTGGCAATACAGTCCGACCATTTTTAAAAGTCAAGGTACATGTTCGAGTACAAGGTACATGCTGCACAGGAAAGATCAACTATTATTCTGATGTTTTTCTACGTCCAGATTTAAGACATCTTACGGAAATATCTACGTAAAACATCTATAAAAAGAACTGAAGTAGTCACTGTGGACAATATTGCACATACAAAGATGATAAATAAGATCTATAACAAAAAACTAAAGGTGCTGGGAATTTTTAACCTAGTATAGAATAAAGTGACAGGAAAAGAATGTAAAAGTTCTAAAAATCATTTATTTAAATAATACATTCCCTATTGCTTCTTTAAGAGGAAGTATGTTTAAGCTTCAAAGGAAAAGACTTAGGTTAGAAACTGTAATTTCCCATTCCATAAATAAAGCTTTATGAAAAGAATAAAGAAACACAGATAGAAAATGGTTGCGTGTATTCCTTTCCAAATAATCTATCAAATCCCTTTCTCTATATGCATTTAGTACAACCCAGTGCCATTAAAGGACTCACAGGACATTAAACATTTAGGCATAGATTTTTATACTGTTTTTTATGGATTCTAAATACAATGTGTTTAAGAATTGAGTCTACAAACTCACAGAGGAAAGGGGTAACCTTACAGATTTTTGTGTCTTCTTCAGCTAACAGCATGAGAGAACACACATGATAAGCCTTCAATAAATACTTTAATTGGATCTAATTAGGTATTACCACCCTCTGAGGCAAAAAAAAAATCTTAATTGGGGAATAACCTAAACACTAAGACCACCACCATGACCAGTAGAAAGCAGCTCTCAAATTTTCCAAGTGAATCAACTTGCATATTAAACAATGGAAGCAGCAAGAAAGAGCAATTGTCTTATTCATTACAAAGGGCTAAGAATGAATCTTCTGTTTGCAAACTTAATCTACTCCAAGTAGTCCTGTTAACTGCCCAGTAAAATGCAATACATTACTTTTGTTTCACAAATCTTATGCTTGATCTAATTTGTTTTACAAATCTTATTCTTGATAAAATGTGTTAAATGTAAATAATGTTGCATTCTTTGCTATACAAAATTGTCATTATATGAAAATTAAGAGGCAAAATACTTATTGTTATCAGCAATCATAGCAAAAATTAGTTGAACTTCAAAATGTCATTCCCAAAAAGCAGGTTTGTTCACATATAAACAGACATATTTCAATGATAAATACTTTAAAATCCATTAAACCTACTAGTACACAGTTATGTTTTGTGCAGCACAGGACCCAAATACAGGCTGGTATCCCACTTGGCTGACAGGGTAGTGTTCTACTTGATAAATTTTCATAAGCTGCTATCCTCCATATTAAAAACTTAGTCACTGGGTTTAACAAACTCCTTGAAGAGTTCATTTCAGTTATTCCTGCCTTTCTCAATGTGAAACGATTTAATCTTATTGCTTTCTTCCTAAGGGGTAGAAAGATGATGTTCAAAGGGGATGTGAATGGCGAAGTTTAGGACCTCACTGGATAGGCTTGGGGGAAAGGCTCCTTTAAAGACCAGCTAGAGTAGGGCAGTGGGCATTGGGAGGGGTAGGAAGGCAGAAGGAGACAGAGAATCACAAAGGAAGGTGGTAAAGCACTGCAAAGAAACTTACTTTCAAACTGGATTGACATCTGTAGTTTATTTTAAACTACAGTTTAACTTAACATGACGCATTCTGACCCAGAACTTCTGCCTTACACTAATAAAATGAAAGTTTGCCTGCTAACATCTGTAAATAATTTCATAGATTATTACTTTATTTCAGAATAGTCTTTCATAATCAGAACAATGTCAGATTTCTCTTTAAATATTTCTATGTAAATTTATATTTTAGAGCCTTATATGGAAGGTCCTAAAATGAAAATAACAGTGATTTTAGATTTTTGAGGAGAAAATTTACAGAAATGTATCAGATTCCAAGTCTATCATATATACACACTGTGTAAGCTAGAAGCCCCTAGAATGTGGTCTAAAACTACCGTTCTGCACCATAACCTTCCAGATTCCCCCAAGGAGAGCATGCCAGAATCTCAGGACTAAGCTGTGAGCAAGTATACTTTGAAAAAGCACCCCAGGAGATTCTGATACTCAACCAACCACCTCCTGCCCCTATTGCCATTATCCGCTGATAACATTCCACCACCCACTGCTGATGTACTTTGTGCTATTCTTCCATATCAAATGTTAACTAAGTGAAGTCATTAGAGCATGTGAATTCAATTGTCATTTACCCAGTTTTTAAGAGGTAAAAATAAATCCATGAATGGCAAATCAATGTTATTTCTTTCAAAAAAAAATCATTTTAAAGCTATGTAACAAATTTTGAACTCTAAGTGTTTACAGTCAAAGCTTTTCAAAGTATTTAAGTCAGTTAATATATTTCCACAAATTAAATTTTGACCAAGTAGCAGTACCCAAAAAAAGAGTTCCAACAAAATTCCTCACAATCCAGTTACACTTAAGTAATAATTCATATTTTTTAAGAAAGTAAATCAAGTATTATTCCCAGATTATCATAACTCTCCCATTGTACATTATACTTCATACCTTAAAGTGTGCACATTCAGAAAATATTATTTATGAATAATTTTAGGTAAAACTAAAGTAATTACATTTCTAACTAACACTCCTGGTTTTCGGTACTCACATTACTCATACTCTAGTTCACTGGAATGTATCTCACAATCCCCGAACTTCTTCAGCTTTAATATTACTCACTATTGGTGGATGCCCTTATAAAGCACATTTAAGAAATGTAATTGATATCTCTCAAACTCCAAACTTTTAAAATCACCTGACAACAGGTGTATATCAACAATCTTGAATCCCTTACAAAAACTCCTACTAATTGTCAAGTCTATTCTACATACAATTAGGCCCTAGTACTAAAAACAAATTTGAAAACAAATGGAGAAAATACACTTACCTTAATAGGGGCACTACTAAACTTAATTTTCCTATTTGCTGGGATTTCTTCTTCTTCTGGCAATCCAACGATTTCCGAGTATTCCATATCGGGCTGATAGTAATTGTTCTCATCACTATCTTCCTCCTCATCCTGCTCAGTGCCTGTCTCTCCCCAGTCTGAATTATACCTGGATCTCACCCTATACACATTATAGTCACTGTGCATATACACATGGGAACTATCAAAACTGTTTGAATCTTCGGGTACTTCTTTTCCACAACTGGATGCAGAAGCATCAGGAGAGGTGAAATCACCACCTGCAAGTTCTTTCCTCTGTTGCTTTGCTGCCTCACTTTCAAGCAAATTAGTTTCAGCATCTTCTAACAGTTGGCTTTGTGGTGAAGGGATTTCAGACTTTGGCATTGCCTTACTTTCAGCACAAGGTTCTTCAGGACCGTCTTTGTCAATGCTGTCGGGAGTCTGTTGGTTAGATGTGGAGTCCTCGGGTTCCTTGCTCTGCTGGATCTCTTCACCAGGTATCGAAGCTAGAGAGGTACTTTTAGAAGCCACTTCTGGTACTGGGGTTATATTACTCTTGTGAGCATCCTCTGTATCAACACCTTGCTTGTTTGAAGGAGACCAGGAATTAGAATCCTTAAGGTGGCCAAAGGTGTCAAGATTTGTAACAGTAACAGATGGTAAATTCAAAGGATAATGCCCAGTCACTGAGTATTCATTGTTCTCAGCCTTCTCAGAAATGATGGCACTGGGAGAATCAGTGTTCTCAAATACTGCACTCAGTTGACTCACAGTTGGGGAGACAGCCTCAGTTCGGGAGCTAAGGCTGTCCAAGGAATCGGTACTGCCTCTGTTGGACTTGGAACCTCCCCATTCATCCTGAGGTTCACTCCCTCCAGCTTTCTCTTTCTTTGGGGAATAGCGGTTGTTTTGTCCTGATTCATGCACACTTCTCTCAAACATCTTCCGAGTCTCAGTGAATTTGGAATATGAAGGGCCATCATACATTGTGTCAAATCTACTAATTCGTTCAGAAACAGAGGACTCCAACTTAACAACTGAGCCATCTGTTTTCTCCAGAAATTCTTTGGGCTTCATTCTTCTCTGAGGAGATGAATGTCCACCTTTCCCCCTTGTTTTGGCAATGACTGCAGCATTCTCGTTGGGTTCCATACCCATCTGCATAAATAGGTTTTTAATTCTGTTGACATTGGAGCCATATTTCCTCCCCCTGCTCTGCTGGGAGCCCTCACCTTCTTTTGTTTTTTGTTCCCCATCTGACTTGGGTTTGTCAAAGGTACTTTTCAGTGCCTGGAACTCAGTTCGATATGCATTCCTGTGAGGAGAGGCACTTCTGAGAGTTGTTCGTTCACCTGAAGACTCTGTTTTCAACATTTTCACTTCAGGGGTGAAAAGCCAATGTTCATAATGATCAAAGAAAAAACAAAAAACCAAGATACCTGTCTTCTCTAATCACCAGTATTGGGTCAAGAAAAGTACCTCTCAAATGGTATACTGTGTTAGCGATCGTGCCAACAGGTGTATTAGGAACTTAGTCACAGTCAAGAGTTACAGAGACTGGTTTTTTCAAAGCAAGACTAGAGGTTCATCTGAAATAGAAAAGAATGAATTTCTGAATTCATTTACTTACTTGAATTTATGTCTAATCAAATAACATACATTTTATTTTCCAAATGGCTTAGCCACGTGGCAAACAGAAGAGCTTACTCATTGAAACGGGAAGTTAAAAGTCAAGAAGTTATCATTCTGATTGTCTTTGGTAAAAAATGTTTCAAACACAATTTGGAGATACCTATCAAAATCTCAAACACACACACACACTCACAAATACAAGTTACACATAAGTATATTTGAAAGCAATACTTTAGCCCAAGTTTTAGTCACTTTTGTGAATGCCCTTTAAAAAGAAACCAGCAGTTCATCGATCTTTAAGAAATCAACAAACCGTCCAGAAAATCAACTTCATTCAGGATTCTCCACAATTAGTTGGAACTTATTCTTTTTAAGTACAATTAAGTTTGGAATCTATGTTTACAAACTCCAAAACATGCCTACAGAGGCATATTTTACTTTTTCTGGTCCAATATTCTCATCTACAGCATCCCCAAAGCAATACTAATGCAATTTCAGACCAAAACAAGGAGGAAAAAAAGTTCCTGAATGGCAATAAGTTTCATTAAATTCAGTTATAACAAGTATTTGGAAGTTTCCTAACAGTGGTTATTATTAATTATGGAGTGGGATGCAGACTACCATGGGAATAAATGCGTAAGAATGTGACAATCAGAAAGCAAATATACTGTGACACCCCTTTTCACAGCCCTGATTTGTTTATTCTTTCTTGCCTCTAACTTACTACAGTTCAAAACGCTACGCAATGCACGCTTGCTGGTCTCCTTAAGCCCACAGCAGGATTTTATATCAATAAGCCAGCAATCAAATACTTCAAGATATGCTGAAGAGCAGACAATGCAGGCAGTTCTAAAGATTTCTCATTTTATTTTTGTTTTGTTTTGATGTTAGACCAAGCCACATCACCCTCACGTACAAACAGCTGAGGAGGCACACACTTCCACTTAAAACGTCTCCAAACTCGGCTCCTGGCCCAGCACGCATGCATGGCCCATGCAGACAAACAAGAAAGGCTTTGGAGTGTGGTGCCTGTTTTTCCTTTTTTTGTAAAGCATCGACAATCTCCTTTTACCCTGACCATTCTTTTTAAAGCCACAAACACCCTCCCCTCTCCCCTACACACACACCCCATTCCCTCCCCCGCCAATTCCAACCCGAGGCGGCGGGGGCGGGGGAGATGGGGCCGCCGGGGGATTCAAAACCTGCCCTCACAAAAGACAAACATAAATAACACCAACTTGAGAGGCAGCCGATTCCCAAGCCCGGTTCGGGACGCAATCCCTCGGCCCTGGGGCAGGACCGGGAGAGCAGGTGACGCCAAGCGCTATGGTAGGAGGTCGCAGTCTAGCTTTGTGCCAAGAAGCACCTGAAGTCCTAACACATTTGCTGCGGCTCCCGGCGGCTGCCAGGCGGATCCCAGTGTGACACGGAGAGAGACGAGCTCCCTGGCCACATTTAAAAAAATAGAAAAGAAAAAAAAATTACAGGGTAATGAAAATAAATCCCTTTGTTTTTCCTCCCAATGTGCCAGGAAACAATAGATTCCACTGATAATGCCTCCGATCTTCAACCTATTGCTCCTCCACCACAACCCACCCCCACCCCCAGGCTGCAACTCAGCCTTTGTACAAGCCGATTTTTTCCTCCTCTCCACCCTCCCCAACTCCTCGCCCCGCGCTCAGCCTCCCCCTTACCCGAGCGGGAGCGCCGCGGGCGGGGAGGGTCGGGCCGCCACGGCTCCCACCCTCTCCTCGCAGGCGCCCCCCGCCCCACGGTGGCCGCGGCGGCACGGCACGGCGCCGGCCCGCTGTGTACACCGCAACCCGCTCTTCACGGCGCAGCGCGCTGGGCGGCTGCGGCGGCCGCTTCCACTCGGGCCTCGGCCCCCACGCGCTCCCTGCCCGCGGCGGGCGGCCCCGGGAGGCGCGCTGCGCTCCCCAACGCCATTGCGGGCGGGCGGCGGCCCGGGCAGCTACGCGCCCGCATGCTCGGACCGGCCTGGGGCCAGGGGTGCGGGCAGAGGAAGGGGTTTGACCCACGTGCGGTCGCCAAGCCGGGCCGTTTGGGCAGCCGGGGAGGCCGCGGTGTAATGGAGGCGAGGCCGCGGGGGTGAGGAAGACCAGGGGGTAACAGGTGCCTCACCTCGGCTGATGGGATTAACTCTAGGGCCGCAGAGAGAGGGAGCCCGGCAGCAAAATCCCGGGAGAGGGAGAGAGAGGGAGCCTCTGGCGGCCAAGGAAGGGCGAAAAGCACCGGCCCGAGGCGAGGCCGCCCCACCCCCTCGGCCGTGGGCGAGGGGCCTCTCCGGCCTGGGGCAAGGCCCCTTCCTGTTCGGGTGTTGGCTCCGGAACTTGGTTCTGGGGCTGACCGCTGCTGGAGCCCCACTTAGTCTGAGTCTGCAGTTAACTCCGTGACCCCAAGGCATCCAAATCCCAGGCAACTCTGCTGGCCTGGAAGGCCAAGACGTAGGCCCAAGTCTGGTGTGGCCTTCACCTAAGCCACTGCGCCTGGCCTACTACTTACCTTAACCTTAAAGTCCCACTGCCAAAGAGAAAGGGATGAGGAGGTCTTCTACCTTTCCTGTCTAGGGAGAGTTTTTCAGCTCACCCCACCCCTCCGCCCTTTTCTAAACGCTCAGTACTCCCTCTTACACCCCCAAGTACCGGAAGTGTTACCACCTTCCTGCAAAATATAAAACTGATCATGACTGTCAATACAGATCTTTAATCCAATCCTTCCAAAAAACCTAGGTAGCAGGAACTCTTAAAGAATAATTTTTCAAGAAGGTAAAAACATGACAATGGTAGAAATACAAAATGAACATGGGTCAAAATTTTATAACTCTTTTAATTAGAAAGGGAACCCCAGCAAGATACCGCAACCCACTCATGTGAGACTGTGAAGAATAGGTATAGAGACAAGAAGAGGCAAAGCCGCTTAATATTCTATAGAGCACTGAAATGTAATGTGTATTATTATCTGTTTTACAGGGCGGTAACCAGTTGTATCTGTAAAGTAACAAATTTGCATTCTGTAGATAAAACTCATTTACATTACCAAACGTTTCTACAGCTTACTGAGTAGTAAAATAGCCTAGTGAAAGTCAGTCTAAGAAAGGTGCAGAGGACTCTAAATTTCACAACACTCCGGAGTCCTGTAGATAACATCCAACATTCCATTGAAAGGACAAACAGTAATCTTTTGCTCATTTCAAAGTATTTCACAAGTTTTCCCAACATAACGATTTTTAGCCCCATTTCACTGATGGAAAAACTAAGGTTTAGGTTTTGTAACTTACCCACTTCTTTATTGGCTATTAATAGTGAATGATTATGGCTGAATATGAACCCAGCAAGTCTGTACACAGATTCTATATATTCTAGGAGCAAAATCTTTTCATTTCAAAAAGATTTTGTAACTACTCAATTCAATGTATTTTTTTAATTTTAAGCAGTAAGGGCTTTTTTTTTTTTTTTTTTTCCTTTAAGCATCACCAAATTCTGGGTCCTTTCCCAAGAAATTGGCATTCTCTGTCTATGAAGTAGATGTCACTTCTATAAGCATAAACAGATGTAACAGGCAATGTGAGGGGGCTGTGGTTCCAGGCTCCACTTTTGGAAAGAACACTTGTGCTGTCTGGGATAATCTAGTGGAAAAGTTCCTGTCATTTATTTGCAGTATGGAAACCAGGTTTTTTAGGCGAATAACCTAAATAAATGCAGAATCTAATCACTGAGTTCTGTCTGTAGAAGAGGGGGCAGAGTTGGCAATAAAATCAGTCTTACACCTCTTTGCAAAAAGATGATTCATACAGAAAAGCACCCTAAAGGATTTGGTTGGTTTAAGTTTTATCTTTTGAAAATATGAAACTTTTGGAAAAATTTATATTGAAGGAATGACAGAGTTTTAAACCCAATGGTGAGAATTTAAGATTCCTAGATTTCCTATAATGGACCTTCCATTTCCAACATTTACTTGAATGTTTGAAGAGTCTATTAGACTTGTGCTAATCCAATACATGCGGCTATTTAACTTTAAATTAATTAAAATTAAATACAATTGAAAAATCAGTTCCTTAGTCACACAAGCCACATTTGAAAGGCTTGATGGCTACATGTGGCTAGTGGCTACTCTGTTGGATAGTGTAGATACACAACATTTCCATCATAGAAATTTCTATCAAACAGTGTTGTTCTAGACCACATTTGCACTTCTATGAACTTTATAAGGGTTAACTTAGTTCAATACATCATTAATGTATGAGGGATCAGAGGTCATAAATTTTATATGTTCCAACTGGAAAGGTGGTGAAAAGTGTGAAAAGTGAACTTCATTACTGACATGCAAAAAATCCAAAATGTGTTTGCGGTGGGGGAGTTCTCAATTTTCATATATGGTATCTTAACCTTTCATAAATCATATAGAATATTGTGGGCTGTTATTTTCATTTCCTTTGCAACCAATAATATCATGATTAGTAAGACCACAAGATTAGAGGATAAACAAAAAGTGCAAAATATATTCTACATTGTTTTAGGGGTTTTCTCAATGTATTTTTAAGTTTTTGTGATGGACATTCTAAGAACTATACAAAGAATTAAGTTATTCACGTGTGTATGTGAACCACTGGGTGCAGCTGTGAAATTAAGCCTAAACTAAGCCTGAATCAAATTTTAAGACTAGGGAAAACTGGCTAAGCTGGTACTGAAGACTGCCTGTCACAACCTCATTTCTAGCAGGAAGATACCTAGCTGGTTGTGTACTAATGGAAGTTCCTGAAGGAAGAGAAAAGACCAGAACAAACTAAAAGATCTCTAGACTTAACTTCTTTATGGAGAAGGCAAAGTAATGGGAGAGCAATTCCTGTAGGTAATTTTACACATAATTGTAGTGTAAAAGGACATGTTATTCATACCACTGTTTTCTTTCCGATATGCATGTTTTTATAGTGATGAGGCAGCTTTTTAAATAAAAGTTTAGTTATAACTGCTTATTTCACGTTTGTAAGTATTGCAGAATGCTTTGTTAACTTCAGTCTTGAATGTCGATGTTCAATTTTCTTAAAGGTCTCTTTAAAATAAATATCTCTATTTGAGGATAAAAGTTTAAGTTTACTTTTGAGTCTTATAATATTTCACACAAACTCCATCATAGAGGTAGAATATATTTCTCTAAAATAGTCCTCAGGCTCACATTCAGACTCAAAGATATCTATGATCAGTCTTATTTTGTAATGTTAGCTATAAAATTAACATTAAAGGTGTAATTTCTACCCCAACAAATTGATAATATTCAGCATGGCTTTCTACCTACACTCATGACTTGGGCATGCCACTGAAAATGTAAACCATCATCTCTGTCCATTTCCCATTCTACAAGTATCTTGGATTTTCAGCTTAAAAAGTTCATAAGGTTGAGTATTTATTTTTATTTGCCATGAGTAATGAACTGTAGAACTCCTTGGGATTCCTTTAGGTCATTTTTAAGTTATTATTAATATCTTATCTCTACAAATAAACAATAAATTTACACAGTGTGTTTAGGCTAAAGTGATGAACTTCTCTTTCTTCGCTACTATTACTTTATTTGTCCACCCACACAAAACAAAGTAAAACAAGAGTTTTATTGGACTAGACATTGGTATAATGTTTTCATTACTGTCACAGCTTCTGAGGTTGAAACAGCAGCTGCTATAACCATTAGTTTTCAGTTTTATAGTGGTGCATGTTACACTTTTAAAGACAAGTATGAGGCATTTATTTGCTTCCACAGAAGCTCATTTTTCTCTCAACAGATTAGCCCCTCTAGCAGGACTCTAGAGGTGGTTTTCTGTCTGCAAATCCTCCACCTACAAGTTGCACCTGAACTCAAATTGGCATGTTGCTGATCTTCAAAATAATTTATTCACCATTTATTATTTTGAAGTAGGCTCTGTTCCATATTATTTTGAAGTGGCTCTATTCCATAGCATTAGCCTTGGTGAATTAACTATTAAAGTAAATAAACATCCATGTTTGTCTACAATTAAATAGGAGATTTCTGTGACTTTATTTCCATTTTTCAGTCAAGTTCTAGTAATAAACCTTCTTGGTGAGGTCCACAATAGTCCCATTTTATACAAAATTTACATTATAACAATGCATTTTAAGAAAATCATAATATTTAATTTGTGTATGCAGTCATCAGCTTTCAGAAATAATTCAATGATAAATTTGCTCTGAAGTTACTAGTACATTTTTTCATAGGTTCTTAAATAGCCATAATCCATGTTCATCCAGCATAGTAATTTATTACCATTACTTTAACACACTGTTTCAAATAAAGTTTGAAAATGTATCATAATCCCTTACATTGTTTGTACACCATTAAGTTTCTCAATTGGATCAATAATGGACAAGTACTTATCCCCATCCATCAGAAGGCAGATCTTGAGCTGGTAGCGTTCTCATTCTTGTCCCGGGACAGTACTCAACATCGTGATTACACCTGGAAATGCTGCATGTTTTAGACTCTTCTTAAGTGATACTACAAAGTTATAATCACTTAACTAGTATTTTTTATTAGATTCTAAATGCATGGATGGATCA